ATGTTTTTGCTTAAACCAAACACTTAATTTTTAATATTAAACTATCTTCCCCAAAAAATATCATTCCTACAAATTTTCCTACAAAATTTTCCAAAAAATTGCTGCTAACCTGTTCATCTTTTTCTAATTTTTCTAATTAAGTAAATGCTTCATTCAATTAAAAATACGTCAGTGAACAATTTGGGAAAAGAAAAAAGTCGCACTTATTAAAAATACGTTGCTTCGAACGCAAAACAAATCAACAAAATGCTGGAAAAGAACTGCAAGCGGCATCTGATATACAAAATGAAGTGATGGATAATAGGGAGAGGACAACAAACCTGTCCTTCACAGCAGTCGCCCGTCTTGCCCATCCTCTTAAATATATTAACGAGCAGTTCTCATCGAAGCAACTTAGAACCAGTTTTAATGCACAAATCACTGAAGCAGCAATAAGCAATGAGAACTGGAAGTTTTTCGGACTTTTTTTCCGACAAAATTTGAATATCGAATCTCCAAATGACTAAATCCTTGCCAAAGTGCTGCTCTCAAGACAGACACTAAGTCGGCATTCTTTTCAGGAGATAAAAGGAACGCTAACTCCACCAGAACAATGGTTAAAAAGACACGAAATTTCCTCATGTATTGATTAATGTACGATACCAGCGTCTCTCCACGCATAACGTTTCATCTTTCTTTTATGCGCATATTTCTATAATTGCTGGTTTTTATGTGATTTTTGCAGCTATACGACGCAGAAAACGCATACTGACCAGGGGTCGTCTGTGAGTCCGTGTGCCTGTCTGTCCGCGTGTGCTTCTGTCAGGCAATTTCATCTCAAGACCTATAAAAGCTGCGGGACTGAAATTCCAGGAACTCAATCTACATGCACGTGCCGGCCCAATCCCCAAAATGGACGCCAACAACCTCGTGATACCCGCGTACGGGCCCGCCAAAATTTTCTTCGGATAAGTTCACAACTCGGGGATCTGAGAAGTTAGAACGCTGAAATCCTAGAGGGATGTTCTCCATCCAAGTAAATGTTGACGCACTGAAAACCTTCTCTCGTGTAAACGTGGTACTCGCGTATTGGGCCGC